GCAGGATTAGAGGCACTCATCAACTAAACTCTGCTGTTGCACGGTTGTTTGATCTCCCAGTCTCTTGCTGAAGTCCAACATGTGTCGGTGCAGGAGGGTGCCGACACTCCCCAGCTGCTGTCTCCTGGTTTTCAGATGGCTCAACATGCCACTCATGGCCTCCAACAGGACACCGTCGCTGCTCTGACGGTCCTGGGTGAGCAAGAAATCCTCTCTCCATGCTTCCTGTAGCTTCTCAGACAAGTCCTTCATGTCCTGCTTGAGCTGGTGAGTGTCCTGCCGGTACCGCTCTTTGTTCGCCCTGGCTCTGCTGGCAGCCTCCGCCATGTGTCTGATACGGAGCTGCAGCCTGCTGTTCTCCACGCTGACCTCCTCCAGTTTCACGCCATTGTCGTAGATGCTCAACTCCACGGCTTTCAGCTCTGAGGCCTGTGCGCCGAGCCTGCCCATGTAACTCCCTCGCACCTCCTCCAGCTCAGCCTTCATCTCCTCTTTGGGCTGAAGCAGAGAGGCGCTTTTCTCCTTCAGCTGCTGGATCGACAGTTCCAGATCGCACCTCTTCCTCCTCAGCTCGTAGGTCAGCATCTTCAGCCTCTGGTGCCTGGACTCCTCTTCGCTCCACTTCGCTTCCACCTCCTTCAGCATCTCCTCCTTCTCCTCCACCTCCCTCTGCTTCTCCTCGTTGCCCCTGGCGATGCTCTCGGCCTCTGCGGCGCACCGCTCGATGTCCTGCCTCCGTTGGCTCTGCGTTTGCCCGTACTCTACCTCACACTGCCTCACGTGGCCCATCAGCGAGTCAGTGTCTGTGCTCTCGGGGTGCTGCTGCTGGAGTGCGGCCTCCTCCTGCTGAAGCTCCTCGTATCTCCTCCTGGTGCTGGCAATGTCGGAGGTCATTTTCGCCACGTGCTCCTCCTGCTTCCTCTTCGTCTCCTCCAAGAGCCTCCTCAGCCGCTTCTTCTCCTCCTCAAAATGGCGGATGTTCTTCTTCTCCGTATCCACGTTCCCGCACATCTCTTCCTGACTCCTCTCGAACACGCGCTGGTTGATTGTGTCGGCCTCCAGGGTGTCTCTGATCTGCTTGTCCATCTCTTTGATCTCCTTGCTGTGTTTGACTATGGAGGCAATGCGCTCCTCCAGCTGCAGCTTGGAGCGCTCCAGCTGCTGCGAGACGTGGGAGTGCTCTACGCTGACTTCGTCCTCTTCATTTAGCTGGTGCTTCAATATCTCATAGATTTGAGCCAGGCAGTCTTGACAGTGCAACCTTGATCTTCGGCCATCCTCTAATTTACCGTCCACTGTGATAATGTCCTGTTTCAGACGCTGGATGGCAGCGCTGAAGGCTTCCACCAAGTCACACAGCTCTTTCTTCAGCGTTTCTCTCTGCTGCCTCAATTCTTGATGCTTTTGGGTCTCCCCCTCCAGCTGTTTCTCGCACTGGCACCGAGACGCTGTCAGTCTTCGGAAATTGCTCTCAACCTTGGCCAAGTCAATCGTGAGCTTGGCCAGATGGTCATGGGCTTCTCGTTTCTTGTCGTCGACCCTGTCCAACTCTCCTCTGCTCCTCCTGATCTCTTGTTTCTGCTGCTTGATTTTTCCCTCGACCTGGTCCACCTCTCTGTCCAGGCTGCCCTGTTTCACAGCCAGTGCCTCTCTCTCCAACACCAGGTTTTGCTGCAGGGTTGCTTTGTCCTGCTCGACCGCAGCGACGCAGGACCTCAGCTCCTCTATTTGCTCCAGTGTCCAATCCAGCTGCATCTGCAAGCCGTACTTAAAGGTGATTTGATCATTCAGAGAAGCAACGACCTCCACATGCTCAGCCCTCACACGCTCTCGCTCTGGGTACAGGGCCTCGTTTTGCCTCAGGAGGGCTTCCCGCCTCTTCACAGTGTCTTCTTGCAGCTGACAAACTGTGCGGAGGTCTTTGTGCAGCTGCTCTATCTCCTCGGCATTAGATGCCCGGGCTGCTGCTACGTCAGCCATGATGTCGTGGCTCATTCTTTCTCTTATGCTGTTAATTTGGTGTCTCAGCATGCTGTTTTCTATGGTTTCCACTTCTAAATGTTCATGAGTGGCACGCCGGTCCGCTTCCAGTTCAGTGATGGCAGCAGTTATCTCTGTCAGATGGAGGCTGGCTTCAGGTGAGAAGGGTACTCCGTCCTCTTTCAGCTGCTTGTCCAGCTCCTTTATGTGCTCCAGAGCTACCATGACTGCCGGGAAGTCAGGGACCAGGCAAGACGCCATTTTTATCCGTGTGTGTGTTGTATTGTAACGTTAAGTGTCCGTGTGTGTGTTGGGGCTCGACGGTGTGTCTGCAGTTTGAAGTTCAGTTAGTAACTTGTGACTGGGGTTGCCGTGGCAACAGCTGTCCCACCACGAAGAAGAACGCGTGCTACGGCAAGAGAGCGAGGCCACTATGTTGTTAGCAGTGGCTAAACCAGGAGCTAATCGACAGTACGTGAAACCAAGTCACTAAGGTCGTCACTAACCGCAAGAAACTGAGCTAAAGCTAGGTTTAGACAAACAGACAAGTCGGGTGTCCCTCGCATTTGAAGCATGACTATTCCATGTAACTATTCCGTGGGGTCCTACGAGAGAGCCTCTGTCCTGAAACATATATATAAACGATAAGGAAGGTGCTCACCCACGGCGGGTTTAGTGCTTACCTGTAATATGTAGTGAACTGTTAGCAACAGCCGAGCAGACGTTTAGGAACAACCTGAGCTTCCCAAGATGTGTACATGAGCTGAAAACACAAGTCCCACTCACCTGCTGCAGCTAACGCCAATGGGGGATGGCAGTAGGGGGTTAGACGAGCCCCGGGGTTGCCAGATTTGAAGATTTCACGTAATTCGGTGAAAAAGGGTAGATGTGGCGCTCTGCTGTCACATCAAGAGTTGTTGTTATTTTTTACACAAGAGCTTATGGGACAGTTGGGAGAAAGGTGGCCCAGTATTCTGAATTTTGTACAATTTGTACTAATTTATTATTATTTATTATTAATTAATTCTTTGTACTTAACGTACGTAATTGTATTGTTACTTTCTACTCTCAATGTGGGAAACGTCTATTACAATTCTCTACCATTTTTCTTACAAATGTTGCTCATTCCCTCCTTAGCTGCCCTTTTAAAGCACATTTACCTCTGGCTGACGGGACAGATCATTCTAACTGGACAGTAATACAGGTACAGGGCCTGTAATAAAGTTAAAATCAGTACCTCAAGATTAGGTAAGACTGCAGGAGCCACCTTGAGGTCCTCATTGTTACAGTTCATATGTAGTTGTATATATTACCACACAGTCTTTGGGGTGCCTGAGGTTCTGGGGCCTGCTTTAGCTGGTTGGGATTCCAGCCTTGGACTTACATTTGTTTAAAGCAAACATAAACTATTAATAGTGCATTTCAACTGGTATTTTTATTTATTATTTTTAGTTAATATTATTTTAAGAGCTTATTTTCACACACATAGCAACTCATCATTGCTAATACTGCATAAGTGGGCCTATTAAATACATGCAGTAGGATACAAGGTTTGACATAGCTCAAACAATATTCAGAATGAAGTGGGCAAGCACATAAAATCCAATTCATGTGGATTCCTGCACATGTTGGTGTGGATAGAAATGAGCTGGCAGATACAGTAAACATACAAAAGGAGCAGTGTGGTGGGAACGGCGGAGCACCAACAAGAGACAGACACATGACAGGCAGGCCTGTTAGAGAAATGTTGCAGAGGAGTTCAGGGGATGAAGCATGCACGACTATTTTCAGGTGTTTAGAAAGCACAGGACATAACAGGAGAATTTAATGTTAGTTTAATGTCATAGTACCCATTCTCATCCACACTCCAATCCAGAAGCTGGCAGTAATGCACCTAAAAGCTGTTTGCAAACCGCCATTAAACAACACAAGAAGAAGACATTTTCCACTGCTCTAAACAGCGGCGCTGCATCCGGCGGACAGCCTGCAGAAAAGCAGGAAAAGGGCCACAGAAAGATGGATCTTATCAGTAAACCAAGAAGCAAGTCTATCGTGTGGTTGTACTTCGGCTTGAAGGCAGACGAAAAGGGACAACCTTTGAACTCTGGCGAGGCCGTCTGTCGTTTGTGCCGAAAAATAGTGCTTGCAAAAGGTGGAAATACCACGAATTTAAGAAGTCATCTGAGACGTCGACATCGTGCAGATTTTTTCGAGAGCAGTTCTTCCACGACCTCTGGAGCTTTGTTTGAGGCTCAAGGTGATTTACCACCAAATTCAGCACTTTCACTGCGAGAATTGTGAATCTAAAGTGTGCATCAATGTTGAGTCCTATTGCACTACTGCATTCATCCACCCCCTTAAAACTGACAGAATGGAATTGCAGCCGGGCACTATTGGCTTTTATGAACTTGCATTGCACTGGGGAGCAGATAAAGGTGAAACAATAGTCCCTAACCCGGATGCTGTTTGCATACTCCTTGCTAATGTATAGCACTGAGCACATGATATGGTATATATTGTTTTTAATCTTTAATGTTGCCACGCAGAGTTATGTGAGTCTATATAGTGTGTCACATCGATGAACGCAACGTTTCACTCCGACCATGCATTACGTCGCTTAATTAACACAGCCAGCAAGTTCCTAAGGGTGTGTTTCTTTAAACGCGGTTATCTAATGCCAAGTTCTTTCACTAATAATGGACTGTACATGTCACAGGCAGGGGCACTGATAAACTGTACACTATACAACACACAGTATTCATGTAACAGTCTTATTACTAACAAAACTTTTTTTAAAGGTATTATTAAAAACTTAGCGAAAGATGCGTGTACGCATGCGCAGAGCAGATACGACCCCAGGACCACAGCTGTTTTACGGCAGTCTCATACCCTTGTTGTTGCCATGGTGTCAACAGTCGTGCACACAGTCCACTGTAAAGAGCTAGTGGAGCCGTTTGGGGACATTTGGTCATTAAAATATCGTTTGTAATGGGTTATGCTGCGCTTGTCCCGCTGGTGTGATATGTCGCAAATAACGACAGTTATGCGGTTGGTGCAGTGATTGGTCAGTTTGAGCCGCCATCTTTACCGTTTTAAAATCCCTCTTCTTATCGACTGACCCCGTCTCCTCAATACAGGCTGATAATGACTGTGGTATAATCGCCGTATAGCACCGTAACCTGACTACTGGAGCGGTATCACTCCGCTTTGTTTACATCCTAACACCTGTGCTCGCTTCATTTGACATTCATTACAAGGCACAGCTGGTGGAGCTAGCAGCTAACAGTATGAATGCACACCTGAGGGATTCCCGTGAACATTTGTTTGAACCTGATATGAAAACTAAAGAAGAAATAATTCTGAAAGAAGAGGAAGAGTCACAAGAAGAGGAAGAGTGTGAGGTGAATACCACTGACATTTGTAGACATGCAATGGTATCAGACTTGGAACTAGACGAACTTGAAGACAGCAGGACTGAAATAAGTAAGGTTACAAAGAAGCAGACGACATGGGCTGTGAATTGCTTCATTGGCTGGCTGGAGTCCCAGGGGCTCCAGGTGGACCTGACTACAGTGGAGAAGACTGAGCTGAACGGGCTGCTGAGACACTTTTATGGATCAGTGCGTAACAGCAAAGGAGAGCTGTATGGGATCGCTAGTTACATTGCACTGAGGGCTGGGCTCAACCGTTACTTCAAAGAGCCTCCCGTCAGCCGCCCTGTGTGCTTAATGAGGGATGCTGAGTTCACCTCAGCCAACAAGGTTTTCCTGGGAGTGCTCAAGAGAATAAGGAAGTCGGGTCGAGACATAACATCACACCATCAGGCGCTGTCCCCCAAAGATATCTGCATCCTCAGACACTCGCGTGTGATGGACACCAGCACTCCAAGGGGACTTCTGAACAAAGTCTGGTTTGATATACAGGTACATTTTGGCCGTAGGGGGAAGCAAGCTAACAGGAATCTAAAGCCAGATTCATTTGTAGTCAGAAAAGACGAGAGGGGACTGAGATACTGCACTTTATCCTTTGGTGATGAGGCAAAAATTCATAACGAGAAGGACCGAAGCACTATGCTTGAGAAGCCAGGCAGTGAATTCTGTCCCATTACTTCTCTTCTAAAGTACCTCAGCAAGCTCCCAACCAACGCAACAGCCCTTTACTTGCAGCCTAAGAAGGAGCTGACGGATGAAATGTGGTACAGCCACGTACCCCTAGGAGTCAATTATCTGGGCTCAATGCTGGCTCGCATGTGTAAAGAAGCCCGCACGTCCGTCATCTATACTAATCACTGCATCCGAAGCACACCCTTTCACCACCTGTGTGTCACAGGACTGGAGGGGAGAGAACTTATTCCTGTCAGTGTGTGCAGGTAGGATGTGTTTACTCACCACTTACCGTCTTGATTTACATGTGTCCCATTACACCTGCTAAAATGTGTTATTTTTTACAAAAGGTCTGAAGGCTCCCTCCAAAGTCACCAGACGCCATCCCTCGGGAGCCGTAAGCAGCGGGGCGAGATAGTGCCAGAGAGCGATTCAGCTGGCCCAGCAGGTCTGCCACCAGACAAGTGGGCACCCCTAACAGAAGTTCACTCAAGCGCACACATTCTGCACCACTGCTGCAATGGATTCATTATCTTAGTGATTACAGTCTGGGTGAAATGCTCAGATAAATGTCAGAATGAACAAATGTGATACTTGAAACAAGATGCTAAAGAAACATATACATCTCTTTGGGAGGGGCACAATAAAATTAATCAAAACAAACTAAAAGTTTCTGTCTTTGCTATAAATAACTAATGTGTAAATGTTGTGTTTACTATAATGTAATGTGTAAGGTTGTATAGTAACAATCACATTCTAAGGCAGTAAAGGTCTTTATTTCCTGTGTTGCTTAATTCCATCATCTCGGTTTTGTTACTGAAAACAAAGAAACAGTAAACATGCCTCCTCTGGATTGTCAGTAACAATAACTCACCTTAAATCCACATTTGACTAATTATTTCTCTTTTTTTCCTCTCCAGGTTTGGATTTAAACCACGAAGAATTTTTTGAGGATGTTCCGTTTCTCCACACTGCAGCAAACCAGAACTATGTCCCAGACGCTGTGCTGCCGCCTGGAGAGCCATGGCTCCACGGCGGCCCCTCCCGGGCGGTGCTGTCCTTGCCTTCCTGCCTGTGCCTGTGCAGGGACATTGGGTCTGCGATGTCTGGTTCTGGATCTTCTGGCGAAGAGCAGATGGGAGAGATGAAGGTGTACGCCAAGTGTCACCTTCAGCAAGGAGTCATGTTTGGGCCATTTTTAGGAGAAGTGTGCCGAGGACAAATGCCGACCAACCTCAGATACTCCTGGGCTGTAAGTAGACAGGTTTGAGTGGCCTTAAAGAGGAAGTTTTAAGAAAGGGTGCTCTTTTTTGCTACAATCACAATTAAAATCCACAATGTAACTTGTGGCTTGTGTTGATAAGCAGCAGGAATTCCATGTAAGACTGGTCATACAAATAGTTAACATACACATTGCTCTTGATCTCCAGATCAGGGATGATGCTGCATTTGTCTACGTCGATGCTTCTGATGAGAACAAATCTAACTGGATGAGGTGGGCAGTTCTTACTGACTCAAGTAAAGTTTACCTCTCAAAGTAGTTCTCTCTTCTGCCTCACTTTTTTGGGGTTTTGGTCTTTTGGGCTTTTCTTTAATCACAGCATTTATTTGACAGAGATTGGCTCTTACTGGTCATAGTTACATACTATAGGTGTTTGCTCTATGTTTCAGGTACGTAACGTATACTAGCAGTGAGGAGGAACACAACCTGGTCGTCTTCCAGTTTTACCGTCGCATATACTACAGGGTTTCCCAGCCCATCACGGAGGGAGCAGAGCTCAGGGTCTGGATCGGCAAGGATTATGCCACCTTGCTGGGCCTGGGGATGGGTGAGTTTTACTGACTGAAGCATGGAATGACATGATGCAGATCTTCTTTTACTTCCAAGTGGATTTTCAGCTGGCAGTAGACTTTATTTTGGCCAACATCTTATATACAGGTGCATGATCCGGGGTTCATGGTCCAACACAAGCTCCATCTGTATCTAACTCAAGAAAAAAAATATGGGGACTACTGGATATCTTTGTAGAACTGTTTAATAATTACTAATTAATTAATGAATTAATTTGTGCTATGGGGCTTAAAATTGCATCATTACATATTTATAAGTTATAAAACCAACAGACTATGGAGCTGGATCTGTACGTGAATCAGTGACGTCATTAGTTCAGAATCTGCACCTGACACTGATTTTGGATCAGATCAGTCCCAACTCTAATCTTATGCATTTGTTTTTGGGTGGGGGGGATGCAGGTGACAATGTGAAATGTGAAGTTGGAGATAAGGAGACGGTTCTACGCCTCCTGCAGGACATCCAATTGGTCACCCTTCCAGAGCCCAGCAGCTCTTCCCTTTGGTCAGACCACAGCCAATCACAGAGCCCCATGCTTGTGATCAGTGACGTGACTACGATGTCAAATCCGGATGCAGCCAGTGATTCAGGCACGATTTCAGGCTTCCCCACCTCCTCCCTGATCTCCTTCCCGTCCCCCAGCTCTCATCCATCTGAAAAGTACGATTTCATGCCTGGAACTGAGAAGCTGCTGAGTAACCCAAACGCCACGCAGAACAGTCCGTGGTACTTTTTTGGGTTTGAGCCTGACCCAACCGGTCGGCCTCTGGACCGGAGCACTGTGGTGTGTAAGCTGTGTGGGGATAATGTGGGCTGTGGAGGAGGAGCAGTGGATCTCCAAAACCATCTGACCAACAGGCACCACATCAGACCACGTGACATTAACAAGGATCGAATAGGTAACTGTTACTGTCTGCTGCCTGCTCACATTGCATAATAGATAACAGTCTATCAAAGTTACAGTGTTCTGGTTTATTACAACTTCAACCTTGTTTTCATAGATCATTTTTTATCTGTTCTGATAACATTTTACTCACCTGTGTAATCGCTGCTGCTATCTGAGGAAATAATGGTCAAGATAATTATCCAAAGCACTTTGTTTGGAAGTAAAAAGTGAGCACAACCAAAGTGTTTGTAATAATAAACAAGACTAAGATTCTACAGCCGTGCTAGCTAGCTGTGAGGCTGTACTACGGCACAACAGTGCTATCATTGACACATGCTCACATTGTTGATGCTAACGTGCTGATGTTTAGCAGGTACAGTTTTTACAGTGTTCATCATCTTATTTTGTATTTGAGCATTATAACATTTACTTATTCATACTTAACAAAGTACACCATAGCTTGATGGGGATGTCATTGGTTTTGAAAAAACTGTCCATAAAGTAAAGTCAATCTTCACTTAATGGCAAAACCGTCAAATAGCTGTAGAGGCATTTCATTAAAAACCACAAATGTCAACCTCATGGTGGCACTAGAGGAAAAGTCAGGAGGTCACCAAAGTCATTAAGATTCATACTCTGGGCACCATGGATATCTGCACCAAATTGCATGGCAATCCATCCAATAGTTTCTGTCACTAAAAAACAAAAATGTCCACCTGCAGGTGGTGCTACAGGAAAAGGATCACCAAAGTCTTTAGGCTACACCGTCTACAAACAATGAATGTCCCTACAGAATTTAGTGTCAATCCATCTTGTAGATGCAGCAACATTTCACTGGATAAGTGAACATTTTGACCTGATGGTGGCTGTAAAGGAAAAGTCTGGTTCACCAAAGCCAGCAGGATTCTTCCTCTGGGGGAGCATGACCCTTTAAACATTTCTTAGTAAACCGTTTAATAGGTAAGCTAGTTAGACAGATGTAGAAACAAGAGTTTTGGTTTTAACCAACTTGAAGCTCAGTCAGAAAGTCAGAAAACTCTTTTTCAAATAAACAAATGTACAGGTTATGATATATAGTGAAAAAGGGTTTTTCTTTCTTCTTTTTCACAAAAGGTCAACAACGCTCACAGCCAATGATGGTTAACAGTGGTCTGGTTAGTACACTCCCCCTGGTACTGTCTGCTCATGTGACCGATGCCATCGCCAACTTTCTCATCATGGACCTCCAGCCCCCTGCTCTGGTAGAAGGGGAAGGCTTCAAACAGCTGATCCACACCCTCCTGCCCTCCTACAAGGAGCTGCCTTCACCTTGTCAGCTTGAGAACCTCCTGAAAGAAAACCATACCAAAGGCAAGACGAGCCTGGCTCAGCTGCTGAGAAGGAAAATGGGAAGCAGAGAAAATGAAGAGATATCTGACTACACTGCTCCCATCGAGTTTGAGTCAAGGAGACGTGGGCGACCTCCTAACCATTGGAGGGAAGTTCCTCACTTTGTCACTTTAAGTGTGGATGTTTGGTTCCACAACTGGCAGGGCAACACTGAGAGGTACCTCACCCTCTGGGCACATTACATAGACTGTGACTTTAATTTTCAGAACCTGGCCCTGGCAACCCAAAGACTGACAGAGAGTGGGGTGAAAGATCACAGCCTTCGAGCACTGGAGGCTCAGGTGAAAGTGATGGCCCAGGAGTGGGGAATCTCACAGCCTAATATGGTCTTGCTGGGAGGGGAGGGAAGGAACAAGATGAGGCCAGGGCCGATTAAGTGTGACAAAAGTGGAGAGGCTGCGGGAAGCGTTCCTCACCCGAACTCCACGACATTTCTTGAGAGGGACGACTCTGTGTCGCCTGAGGAACCACATGGCTCAGAGCACGGCCATTCTAGTGAAGGTCTTCCATCCGTGCCATGTTTCTTCAGCGCTGTTCAAGGCTGCATTGAGGAAGTGATGTCACATCCTGTCATCTCCAAGACCCTAAGCCAATTCCAGAGTATTCTGTCAACCCTGTTCTTGCCTCCTGCTCAAAACAAAAGCTTGTATCAGTACCACACCCACAGTCTGTTGAAGACCCTGACGAAACAAGAACAGGCAGAGCTGAAGTCATGGGCTCATAGCCGGCCAACTTGGAATAAGCTGTACCCTTTACTGAGCACCCTCATCAAACATAAAAGCTTTCTTTGTGATATGATGAGAGAGATTAAAGGTGAGGGTTTGTCTAAAGAAGACACTTCTTCAGAATCCAGTTCATCTGGCAGCTGCCACGCAAACTCCACGTCCACCACGTCTCCAACAAGCGCTACAACCTTGCGATCTGAATGGAAGGTTCTGGAGGAACTGTGTTCGGTCCTCAAACCTCTGGACGTGGCATGTCGAACTCTCGCCAAAGAGGCATTCCCCCGTCTGTCCCTCATCAAACCCATTCTCACCGGCCTGCTCTCTCGCCACCTCATGTCGCGGCCAGGAGATTCGTCTTCCACCCTGAAGGAAGTGAAGAGGATGATGAGGCGGAACTTGGCAAGCTGTTACGACAACCCTGTTGTCAACAGGGTTCTGTGTGTTGTATGTTCCCTCGACCCCCAGTTTCACGGGCTGGGGTTCATGGAGGAGAAGGTGAGTCATAAAGTTAAAATGCAGGGAGTTGTTCTTTAAACCCTGCCAGTTACTGTTGCTACGCCTGTCAAGCTTTCTGTTCTCGCACGACACATGCAGTTTACAATGATAGCCGTGGCATATTTGCTATTGAAATTCTTAGTCAGCAAGATTGCTTTTAAAAGCAGGCTTTTCATTACAAAGAGGCCCAAGTGAAGTTGAGTTGATTTTATTTATGTAGCCTAAAATCACAAATTGGTCACAAGGGGCTCTACAATCTGTACAGTATGAGACACGCTCAACCCCTAGAAGCTGTCAAGCAAAGTCCTTACTTAAGTCAAGTAGCTGTACAAGAACTTTGCCTTAATAAAATACAGCCTAAAATCCACAGTATTTAGATATAAGCACTGTAAGCTGGGATATGAATCTGAACAGGCATTTGCTGTCAACTTTCAGTATCTGACAGTTTTCAATACTCTATGGACACATTTTGGTCAGAACCAAAGCATTGAGGTTTGATATTCCACCCTATTAACAGCACTTTCTACTGTAAAGCATAGCCACACAAGTCTGATACTGAACATTTCATTAAAACTAGTGTTTTCTTGGGGTTTCCATTTGGTTTAGAACACATATTAATGATCAATATGTATTAAGAGATTTCTGTTTTCCTGCTTATGTCCATTTCTTCTATAGGCCAGGAACACTGAATTACATTCCCTTTTTAGGTTGCTTTCTTGATCTGTCAAAAATTCTTCTATGTAACATAACTAATCCCGTCACTACCCTCCACAATCATGGTTATAATAATGTGTGAAGTGAAGAATACTCTGGAAGACAAATTAATATATAATGCAATATAATTAATATTAATATTATTATTTTTGTTTTGTTTACTTTCAAGGAGCAGACAGCCACTTTTGACTGGTTGAAGAAAGAGGCTGTTAGGATTGTGAAGGAGGACAGGAGGAGAAGCCAAGGTAAGAAGTATCGCCAGAGCAAGAGAAGCCCCTCACCTGGTTCTCCTGAGTCAGAGAGTGACCTCCTGCGGAGGAGCAAGCGCCTCAAAGAATCCCGTCCAATCAACTTCAGAGAGTTTGTCAGCGAAGAGGAAGAGAGCGATACAGGTGACGCAGATGAGAGCGAGTTGGTGGATCCTGTCTCTCAGGGTGGGCTCTCTGGTATGGAGTTCCTCCTGGGAGACCTGTTCTGCTCCACCCCCAGGAGCAGGCAGAACTCTGTGGAGGAGTCTATAGACATGGAGATGTCCGTCTTCAGAGCTGACAAGGGGACTTCTCTGGGAGTGGAGCCCTTGCAGTGGTGGAGGACGAAGGCAGTGCAGTTTCCACTGTTGGCCACAGTGGCACGGGCCTACCTGGCTGCCCCGGCGGTGGCAGGTAATGCTGCACAGGACTTTGTGGAGGAAGGTGCGGGGGTCACGTACAGAAAGAGAGCCTACATTCCACCAGAAAGTTTGGATTCGATCTTGTTCCTGCACCACAACCACATGCCCACCACTGAGAGTGGGCGAACAGCAGTGGCACATAATTAGCCTTTTGAGAAAAAAAATGGGCAACAGCACAATATCCCCATGAGGACACAAACAGATGCTGAGTTTGGATGCAGTACACACAGAGGTGTTAAGTGAAGTGTAATTAATTTTTTGGGATCAAAGCTTGAGCCTGAAGAGAACAAAGACAAAGTGAAAGAAAATCGGTTTGTACTGTGTATAGTTTGGACTGTTATCCTTCTGATCTACGGTTAACTTTGCTGTGTGCATTAAGTACCTTTTAGCGCCTAGTGCCTTACCTCCTTTGGATACAATCACACAGTAGATTGGTAGGTATTCCTAATTTTTATTTTTGATCCTTAATGCTCATTTTTAACGAATGTATGCAACTGTGATTACAAGTTTGTGGATTGTCTACTACTACCTTTGCTTATGCACCACGTGTTTTATGTTATTAACAGTGTTGGGCAGTAACTCATTACTAGTAATAATATTACTTTTCCCAGTAACTGGTAGTGTAACTAATTACTAATACATTTCAGTAATAATATTAGTTACTCCTCCAAAAAATAATTAGTTACAATATTACTTTCGTTGTCACCCTCCCCTAATTTGAAATCCAACAATCCAATCACATCTTTAGATTAATTTTTGTTATTGTGGAGGAAACTAGTTTGGAAGCTGGAAATATTCCATTACTTTGATTGAACTAACAAAACTGGATTGTAATTGTTGTAAGTGAACTTTGGGGAAAAGGACACCATTACCAATTTTGTGGGGAGTAGCAGAA